TGATACTTGGAATGTTCCTAAGGAAGCTTGCTGAGATTCATGGGAGTTAAGGTATACAGCATCTTAATGACACATATCTGCTAACATTACGTCCCACTTAACACTAAGTCCCCTTGCTGAAACCTAAATACCCACTAAATCCAAGTATCCCTAGGCTGGACCATAAACGACCCCTTTAGAGGGACAAAGGTTTAAAAATAATATCAGGAAGTATTACTTTACTGAGAGGGTAGTGGATGCATGGAATAGCCTTCCAGCTGAAGTGGTAGAGGTTAACACAGTAAAGGAGTTTAAGCATGCGTGGGATAGGCATAAGGCTATCCTAACTATAAGATAAGACTAGGGACTAATGAAAGTATTTAGAAAATTGGGCAGACTAGATGGGCCGAATGGTTCTTATCTGCCGTCACATTCTATGTTTCTATGTAATCTAAATTAGCCCTAGTGTTATCATTTTAGACATTGCTAGTGATATAATGATACTGCGCTCTTACTGATGTTGCAGAATTTTAGGGTCCCTCAAACATTGCCAACAGGTGCAGCCTGCTGTTTTCACAGAGACATTGTAAATAAATAACTACACACATTATAAGTGGGTCACCAGTCACAAAGTTTGATGAATGGCCTACTGATCTGGCAAGGTGTAAATTCTTCCTAAGCATTGTATACATTGTGAGTTAGAATGACGGGAAGAGAATAAAGAGATGTGTTTCTTTAAAACTGGTAATACCGGATTATCCAGATCACAGTTTTTATAGCAAGAACATTATTCAAGCAGGGAACTTGATCTTGTGTCCTTAAAAGGAAACCAAACCGTCACTTCTAAAGATATTACACCATAATAAAACTTTGAAAATCACCTTTAATTTGGGTTCACTTTATAAAGTCATGCTCTATTTTTTTCAAGATATGTATTAACTGCTCAACAAATGCATCACAATCCACTTTAAATCTGTCACAGCTTGGGCACACATTGCCCTGGATGAGAAGAAACCTTAATTCCTACATTTGTATTTTTCAGACCTCACAAAGGCATTTGTTAAATATAGGGAATAAGTCAACAAAATATTTTTAAAAAATTGGGATATGACTGTCCCTTTAAAACAGGGAGCCCATGCATCACTATGTGCATAGTAGGATGTTCTGTCTATGTGATCCCAGAATACTCATATACCCCTGTGTGTTCCATTATATAATTTCAAATACTAGATGGACTTATACACCTTATTGCTGGACCGTGCTGATTGGCTACATCACTATCAGAGCTAGCCGCAGCGGTGACAAAAATGTAATAAAAAATAAATAGTAATTCTGACAGTGAAAAGTCTACCAGGAAGACCATATTTAAAGACGCACCACAGTTTACAGCTCTGTAAATAAACCCTGACTAGCCGTTTGAAGACGAGTTCTAAACACATGGAATTATTGAAATTTGATTCCTCCTAGTTTAACCCCTTAAGGACCAAACTTCTTGAATAAAAGGGAATCATGACATGTCAGACATGTCATGTGTCCTTAAGGGGTTAAGGAAATTAGCTGAACGTATAAATAATCAAAGAAAATAGTTACTTGCACATTATTCCAAATCCCTGTGCATATTTAAATAAATGGAGGTTATTTAATAACTCCAATGGCCATTAGATGTAAGCCCACCTGCCACATCATGGCAAACCTCTTAGGTGGGTCCCACACTAACAAATCACCTTGTTTCAGGCAAAATAAAATCTCTATTAAGACAGAGAGGGGTATTTTTCTAAGCCCCTACAAACTCATTAACCCTTAATAGGGAACACATGGGTTAGGCGGCAGCACGGTAACATGGCTGTGTGATACAAAAGTAAATACAAATACACAAAAATAAGCCCTGAGCTCAAACTCCCATTACTCCTGGCTGATGTGTACTATGGTCATTGCTGCCACCCAGAAGTAGTGGGAGTTTAAGCTCAGGACTTATTTTTGTGTATTTCTATAAATAATAAAGTTAAACATTTACTGCCATGCAATAGGCAGTATTAAATATTCACATATGTTTGATGCAAATCAGCATCTAATTACACTGTATTCGGTACATTTGGGACATATTACTTATCAGAAACTAGACCGCTCAACCCATCTTCATCACACAATTTACATTTTTGCGGTAGTGAATTATAGGGACTGTACTCCAATAGATTTGCATTTATTTGTAGTTATGGTATTACTTGAGAACTCATCTTTGGGCTTTTCCACGCTTTAGAATCCTAGTTTTTAAATGATATATATCCAGATGTTAGCTAACCAACCCTGATGAACTTCGTAAGCCCCACTCCTGCCCTCCCCCCTCCCCCCCCCCAAAAAAAAACACAGCAAATTACTTTCCAAAGTTCATGGGAATCTTAGTTTATTAACCATGGGTGGTCTGGTATACAAATAACTTTGCTCAGGAAATAAAAATAAATAAATAAATAAATAAATATATATATATTTATTATTCAAAATACTGCACCTTGGGTATTGGAACAGAAACCTTTTTTTAAAGCTAATATTACAGTGCATAAATAAGACAGGTAATACAATAGTCCATCCACCCAACCTCTGACCTTAGTCAAATATTTATAAACTGCATGTCAGCTCAATGTAAATAATAAATGAACTCAATACAATGTATAGATCATATGGCTTCTTAGTTATCAGTATGACATCATCAACAAGGCCCATCCAGCCTAATACTGTGTATGGTGCATTAAAATGAGCATTCTTCCCTTCTAAATGGGTATACATCTATTAAGTGCACTGGACAGGGCAGGGCAGCTATAATTTCACTATATGGTTTAGTTAACTCCTTCATGACAAGAGGTTAAGGATTACATCAGGATAGTCCTGACACATCATTGTTTATTTCATGACAGACTAAACAGACATCTACTCTGTTTCTGGAGAGCAAATATCTAAAAACACTTCCTGTTAGAGCTCTGGATGACATATTGCATACTCTATTAATATTCACATGTAGGATACAACATTTTCATCGGGGTTCTTCTGCTGAATTGAATTGTGGGAAATTGGGACATTGGAATGTACAATTTTAGGCAGAATTTTGGAAAAATCAACACACACACACACACACACACACTTTTTCATTAATATATGTTCCAGTCTGCAATTCTCATCATCCACAAGTTGTCATTGATTAAAGTGGAGCTTACAATGAGGCAAAATGTGGGCCCTCCAGAAATCTCATATAATCAGTAAAGGTTTGTGAATTGTTTTCACGAGCTAAGAGACCGATCTAGAGAGAATCCAAAGGTTAGATCTGAAGTTGGAAGACTAAATCTGTGGATTTTTGTGAACGGAAGAACCATATTATAAAACTTAGACTAAAGTAGCTGCTTTGGAAAAATTCTCCAAGCTATCTATAGTCACTGCTTGGCTATTTTTGCCTAGAGTTGTAAATTAGTTTTTTTCATTCACTACAACTCTGTTTATTGAATAATTCCTTATGTTTGGGTTTCCACATCAGGTAACAAAAAAGGATGAGCGGTCCAAATCGATCAAAGAGGGAACAAGTGAATAGACTATAGGCCTTGACACTTGTAACTTCCTCACTAACTGCAAGTGGTTTTTGGAGCATATGAAATGGGAGATGTCAGTGAATAGCAATCCGAGTTAAAAATAAAAGTCTGGACTCACCCACAGCTAGTCCTTCACTATCCGACATCGTGAGAAAGAAGAGGTCTTTGGTAATGGAATAAAACGCTCTGTGTCACGCAGCAACAAAATATCCTTAAAAGTTCTGCAGGATTGTTTCTGTGAGTCCCCCTGGCATACAGCTTTAGAGGCTTCTCTGTATGGGAGGAAAGAAAAGATAAGGATGTATCCAAGAACCAGAAACAAAATGCTATTGGTGGATATATTTGATTTATTCCCTCCCCTCCGAGTGTTCCACTAAGCACGAAACATACAAATGTAATATTAATAAAGGCAGCTTTTGGGAGCCACCCGAAAGGTTTATTGACAAGCTGTGAGCCGAACAGCTGCTTCCTTTGCAGACATATGTTCCGTTTTACCGTTTCATTCATAAATGTTGATAAGTGTATGTTTCGAAGCAGGGATTTGGAAATATAGCTGAGTTAACCACTCCCATCATGGCTTTAACTGGGTATCACAGGGGTTAATTCACTAAACAGTGAGATTATGTCCACCCTGACTATTTTAGGATTGGTTTTACAAGTCTGTTGTCGATTTATAGCAAACCATTATTTGGTAACAGTAATTCGCAGAATTTTGGCTGTTATCTGTTGTCCATCTGCCTGTCTGTTCGTCATTTTATCCCTCATAAGCTATAGATCTTGTTTAGGTAAGAACATACAGACATAATTCATATATTGTCGGTATTGTCAGCACCACGCAGTTGTGCTGCTCGTAGTGTTGTGTCTAGCTGCATTTCATGGGCGACCTATACGTTTCACACTACATTGTCTTCCTTTTCATCTTAAAAAAAATAAAAATAAAATTATTTTGTATTTCTGCTGTGCATATGAGTATTACAGACAGGCTTGAGGTACTCCAACGGCAATCCTCAGGCTGAGCATCTTGAAGTACAATTGGATTGGTAGATTAGGCAAGCACAATTTTATAATAGGAACAGGTAATAGAAAATATCGTTTTGGGTCTACCCAGCCACCATTCTTCATACAGGCTAGTTGCAAACTTATAATGGTGGAGTGGATGGCTAGGAGACAGACAAGGTTAGGTAATATGAGGTTAACAAGCTAAGCTAGAAACATGCAAAGCACTACTAGCTACAGAGACACATTGGTTGTTGCTTAAGGTTCAGCATAGCTAGATAGGCTTCTAGCATAAGGATTTTGTAATACCACTGGTCAGGTTATTAAATGAACCTAAGGTTTCATGAGGCAAATACAATGAAAGGAAAACATAAGGCACGCAAGCGGGACACCTCTCTCAGCACTGGGGGTAGGAGCTTGTCACGGTGCCGCTCTGGATATCCTAAGAGCATATCACCCTATGCCACTGACAGTCCAGGCTTGGGAATACCGGTTCTCTTCAGGACTGTATCGCGTCCCCTCCGGCCAGGCGCTGTGTATGTTCTGCGAGTAGAGTAGGAATTCCAGCTGCTGTCTCCCCTTTTGCCGCTCCAGGCTTGAAAAGGGGCTAGTGCCTTGTGTCAATGGATCTGCCTTCAGGGTCCCGTCAGCTTGGTTACCCCCTAGGGTGTATGGACGGCAGCCTGGTTTACATTCCAGGCAGGCCCCCGGCCCAGAAGAGTAACGGGAAGCTGGAGTAGCTGTGGGCTTTGGTGAAGTACCTGGAGGGTGAGTATCCATTTCGCCTCTGTCCCGGTGCAAGAGGTCGCCTGAGTGACTGCTGGTGCTACAAAGGGTAGATGTTTGCTGTGCAGGCGTTGCCAAAAGTTTGAGCAGAGCGCTTCAAACTTTGCCTCGAACTGCTCTCTCCACTCCTGACCTCCAAGACTTGTTGTATCGTGCAGATGCATGGCGGCCATCTTGGCTCCAGCACGTGTTTGGCTCCACAGTGTTTTGCTCGAGGTTAGTGGGGGTTGAAACTGCCCCAGTGGGGACCAGGATATCTCCGGCCGGCCCAAAGGGGGGGAGTTTTGGGGCCACCATAAACTGAGAAGTGGTATAGTCCCTGGGCCAGGAGATCAGCCAATTCTCTCGGCCTTCAGGATGGACACTGCAGTAGGCTGTGAGGCCAGGCGTGCTATAAATGCGTGTCAGGTACAAGCTGGGTAATCAGAGTTGCTTTGTCGATTTGCTGCCAGGTCCAAGCATCTATGAGCAAAGTTTTATGCCCAAAAAGCAGGATTTTGAGCTCAAAAAGCAAGAGTTTGGGTCTGATCTGTAGGAGCTAGTGTGAGACACGTCTGGCCATCTTGGCTGTCAGGCCCCGCCCCCTTCCTTTTCGTATTTAACGTGTAGCAAGATGTGTAGCTAAGGTGTAGATGGATTTTGTATCTTGTACAATAGCAGGAAAAAAAAAATAAAAGAAAAAAATAAATGGATATCAACTCTAAATTTGACTGTTCTGTTTCCAGTGGGAAGTTTGTGGATAAACCCAGAGATGATTACTTGGAACTTTAAGTCAACTTTTTTTGTACAAATATAGTCTAGCGATGCCCAATAACTACATACCACTCACACATCTGCATAAGTCGTGCCTTTCCACCCTCCGACAGAATAATGTTTGTTACATCGCTAGCAACAAACTTTAATCCAGGGGACTTTTACATCATACAGGCTTTAGGGTTACATTGAGTAACGTAAACCGAGCACAATTCCAAATAAACTGAATAAACCACTGTGTAAAAGGTTACATAAATCAAGTGGTGCTCTCATAGTTTGGATACCTCCAATAAAACATCAACACTGGTGGGGGTAATTAAACTGGGAGTTTTGGAAAACGGACAAGGGACTTGGTTCAGCCACTGGTCTCACATCGCTATAAGCCAATCAGCAAACAGTGCAGACTCTAGGCTTACCAGTGCAAATATATAAAAAGAGCAATACATTTTCTATTTTACATATTAGTCATATTATGCTAAATGGGATAATTAATGTCTTTTTGTGTTTTTTTTATTCATTAGCATATCTTAAAAAAAAAAAAAAATCAGTCTGCGCAATTCTGTAAGACTGATTAGTAGGGGGCAGAGCCTACAATCCAGCTGGATGGCTGTAGGGCGTAGGGAAAGAGCTCCCGAGCTAACGGCTAATTAAGCCTACTATACAGCGGCGATTCAGCAATAAACCACCCCCCAAAAAAACTATATACCCAACATGTCTCAAAGAGGAGCGAGGAAAACCACAGACGCCAAAGAAAAACACTCATTCTTTGCAGTGAAATCTGCTGGGTTGAAAACGGCAACAAACGACTCTCAAGATGGCGACGGCAGCAGTGAGGACAGAGTGGAATCAAGACCACAGTCTCCTCATGACACCATGCAAATTCAAGGGGAAACAATGCAGAACATGTTAGATGACATGGCAGCTAAAATACAGAACATAGTGCAACCTGCGGTAGCTGAACTCAGGAGAGACATAGCAGATATAGGTACTCGCACAGCACACATGGAAAATAAAAGTTCACCGAAGTCCACAACAGCTATGCAGAGAAAATGGAGGAGATGGAAGAGCGGCTATAAAGACAGGAATTAAAATGCATGGACCTGGAAGACAGATCTAGACGCCAGAATCTGCGGATCAGAGGAATCCCCGAAGCCACGCAAAATACAGACCTGATGGCATACCTATCGGGCCTGTTTCACATACTAGCCCCAGATATACCTCCTGACATGCTGCTTATGGACAGAGCTCATAGAGTAGCGAAACTGCAACACCTCCCTGCCTCAACCCCGCAGGATGTACTAACCAAACTGCACTATTTCCATGTCAAAGAGGCCCTCCTCCGATCCAAGAGACCATCACAAGACCTACCTGAGCAGTACAGAGCCATTCAATTATTTGCAGATCTCTCAGCAGAAACACTGCACCGGTGGAGAGAATTCAGAGAGATTACACTGGAACTGAGAAACAGGAAAATCCCATATCGCTGGGGATTCCCAATTAAACTACTGATTCTACGAGAAGGTAAAACACACACAGCTACAAACGTAGAGGCCGGCACCAGACTGCTACGATCTTGGGGCATTGACACAGCTCCAGGAGACAAAGGGAATTCGAAAATAGCATCAATCTAACCAGAATGGCAAAGGGTCCGCAACTCCAAACTCTCCAAGCATGCAACCGATCGATAAGAAGGAATATCGGAGGCGGTCATCCAGCATCAGCCATAACAGGACGATTCCCCACACGATGAACTCTATGGACATTACTATCCACTCACACAACCTGAGGACAATATGTTCTAGTACCATATGATATATGTAAATGTACAGGTGATGGGGTATTTAACTCACGTATAATAGCTACTATTTACACAGAGTCTGTGGTCACAAAGGGATGGATTCAGAGGGAGGGATATCAACAAAGGCCAGCAATGAGTGTCGAGGCAGATACAAGTTTAAATAGATAAGTTCCGGGTAAATTAACTCGCCAGAAGTCGACACTCCATCTAAGATAATAGAGACCTATACCCCACCCCCCCTCTTCCCTATCAGTCGTGCCGGTAACCAGAGGTCACACGACTAATGTAACTCTGGCTTGTAAACAGGACCGGGTACACAAAAAAATAAAATATGTAACTCACCCATCCACCTCGCCCCACAACCCATAGGTTAGAGGGGTCTCTGTAGTTAATATCAATAACACACAACAGATAGGATACGTAGAGCCGAAGGTGAAGGGACATGGTATCCTGGGAGGCCACAAGGCGAGACCTGACATCCCGTACCCCCCCAGGTAGGCCGAACTAGTGGGAGAAACTAGCAGGATTAATCCCGAAATAGGGAATCTACTGGGTATAATGCTCAGTGCACAGTTATACTTTTACTTCTGTTTATGTATATATTTCTACTTTTGTTATTGTAAATATGTTACTTGTTTATCGTTACCTATGGTCACACTCACACCTATACAAATGCATAGCTATGCATTCCCCAGTCAGAGCACGGGCTCAACGTCACACGCAAGGCTAACAACTCTAAAGAACATAAAAACCACAAGAGGTCCCCTCCCAAACGAAAGAGTAGAGCCCCTAGGCTATACACCCCAAGACACAAACCCCACAGCATGCAGACAACCCAAATAAAATTCAAATATGAAGCCAAAAGAGTTCCCACATGTGTTGTACAATTAGTCTCAAAATATACTCCCACAATGTCCAGGGCTTGAACATCCCATACAAACGTCATACCCTGGACAGGGAACTTAAAAAGATCCAAGCCGACATAATCTACTTACAAGAAACTCATTTCAGGACAGACACGCATCCCCAATTAGTAGCTAAATCATACCCTCACCAACTCCATGCCCCTACATCACAAAAATCCAGAGGGGTATCTATCCTACTAAGCAAAAACCTCGCAGTGACTACCCACACACACATCTTAGACCCAGGAGGGCGATACATCATCTGGCAATGCACCATTAATGAACAGGACTACACTCTAGTAAACATTTACTCCCCGAACACAAACCAGAGAAACTTCTTACACAGTGTTCTTACCAAGACAGATAAAATACGAAAGGGTACCCTGAGACTGTGTGGGGACTTTAATCACGTCATGAACCCAGCGGTAGATTCGACTAGGCCACATACATCCATGCAATACAATACTCTTAAAAAAAGTTCGCGACATCACTAGTGGAGAGCCCTACACCCTTCAGAAATATCTTACACACACCACTCCAAGGTTCACAACACATACTCCAGAATCGATGGTTGTCTCATGCATGAATCCACAATGACCAGAATTCTAGACTGTGACATAATGCCCATAGGTTGGTCAGACCACGCTCCGGTAACATTGACTCTCACAAATTCACACGACTTCAACCACAGGAGCTCTTGGCGTCTAAACGATAGTCTGCTCCAAAACTCACAATTCTGCACACAATTAGAAAAAGAACTACAACAATATTTTGACACAAACACATCACCTAACCAAAACCCCCATATGTTATGGTTGGCACATAAAGCCATAATGAGGGGCACACTCATAAGTAGGGCCTCATACATCAAGAAACAAAACGACAAAGCTGACACACCATACAAAGCTATTAGACACACTACACAAAGAAAACCAAAAGTACCCACCTAGAAACATAAAAAACTAATAACTGACACTCAAGAGAAACTCACCGAAATTAGACTCCGCAATTCAGTCTCACGCTAAACAAACTAAACTTACGTAACTATGTACAGGGAAACATGGCTAGTAAAATCCTAGCAAATAGACTGCGGGACAGACAACAGCAATCTCGAATAGCACACATAATCGACAAAAAGGGAAGGAAACCACACCTACCATTACAGATTTGTGAAGAATTTGCCCAATATTAAAAACAGCTTTACAATTTAGTAGAGGCCCTAACACCCCAAAACCCACAGAGGCAAGCATTAAATCCTACCTCGATGATGTACCACTACCAACCCTAACGGAGTCCCAAAAACACAATCTAATGACCCCATTCACAGAACTTGAAATCATAGACGGCATTGATTCCCTACCCAAAGGGAAAGCCCCAGGCCCAGATGGATACACAAATGAATACTATAAAAAAAATTCAAAAATACCCTAGCCCCCCACCTCGCAGCTGCGTTCAATCATGCGCTCCGCACAGGGACATTCCCTGCAGAATTCCTAACAGCCAGAGTAATAACCGTTCCTAAACCATTATACGAGGAAAACAAAAAGAATTAACCTAGGGCCAAAATTTAGATATCACAAGGTAGAGGGCACAAAAAAAGGGGGGTAACCCCTAAATGGTGAATATCATAGAGAATAAACAAAAAAAGAAACAAATGCCATTCTACCTGTGTATGATTTACTGAGAAGATTGTAGATTAAAAAGTAACTTTGAATAA